CTGTCCCGTCGCGCGCCGGTGTCTGGTTACAGGAGCCTTAAAGGGCCAGCCGCTCCAAGTCATCCCAAATATTTCCTCAGGCCCCCACCCCACCCCAACAGGCCACTACTTGTGTTGGGATAAACTGACATATTCACCTCACCCGCCCCTCTCCAGCCGCCTTCCCCAGTGCCAGCACTTCTGGGATCCACCCAGCCGTCTGCCTGGAGGAAAGGGGCACCTGGGGAGCTGTCCAGGAAGCCCCTGGCCCACACCCCAGCTCAGCCTCCCTCCTTGAGGGCCCCTGTCCAGAGTCACAGCTCAAAGGAGACCAATGCAAGTGAGCCAGGCTGGGCTGGGGCCCTGGGTTCCCCTCTAGGTGGTGTGAAGGAGACACAGTCTCCCATTCCTTGAGGCCCAGGTGGCCACTTTGAAAGGTCTCACTAAGCTACTGGGCTCCTCTCCAGCAAATGGCCTCTTGCCTCCGGGCTGGGTCACAATCACATGCCAGGTCCTGGTGGGGGGGCAATTCCTTCCGTTATGCAGATGGCCCAGCCCCTGCCAGGGCCTCACCTGAGGAACTCTAGGGGGTGCAAACCGTGAGTCCTCCTTGGTGAGGTCTGGGGACCCCAGAATGGGTCAGCCCCTGCCAGGAACTTAAAGGCACCCAGCCCACACTCTGAGTCTGGTGTCAAATGTAGGGCAGTCCAGGAAGACACCAGCTCTTGATCCTGGTTTCCTGCAGGAGGCGGGTCTTAGGGGACCACAGCATGTGGCTGAGCTGGCCAGGTGGGTCCCTGATCACAGCCGCCCTTTCTTCAGTGACTCTCCTCAGAACTCGGGACGGTTACACAGCTCAATCTGCCCACGACCAAGGTGAGCATGGCCTTAGCAGAGGTAGGGAGTCAGGAGGTGACTTGCCCAGTGATACAGCAAGGGGTCCAGCAGTGAGGCAGAGACAGGGGTTAGGATCTGTGGGCTCTGAGCCTGAGGAACAGCCCAGGGTCCATGACAGTGCTGTGGGATCTCTGTGTGGGGGCCTCCACCTGAACCACCCCTCAGAGACTCCCAGGACTCTGCCGCGCCTGTCCTGCCCACCAGCCGACCCTGTCCAGGCTGGAGAATGGAGCTACTCCTGGGGTCCCCAACTGCAGCTGCTCCCCACTCCCTTGGTGCTGGGGACAGCCCCTCTCCCCACAGGTGCCTTGCAGCCTGGCCAGCCTGGGGGTCCAGCCCCTCTCTGCACCTTGGTCCTCCTCCGTCCAGGAAGGGTTAGATCAAGGACCTGAGTCTACTGTTGAGTCCGTGACAGGGCTGCTGACCATGCACCAGGGCAGAGTCCAGGGCACATGGCCAGGCTGTGACCAACACACACCTGCTCAGCTGGGACTCAGGCAGGGCAGAGAGGGGACCAGTGACAGGCTGCTACTTCTTGTAACGCTGTTGTTCCTGTACCCTGGTGTCCTAGGGCCAGGCAGGGCTTTCCTGGGATGCTCCAGCCTGAGACAGCCACCTGCCAGTGAGGCTGAGGGTGAGCAGATGTCCAGCCTCAGCAGCCCTGGTACATCATGAGGCCCTGAGAAAGCTGCCACGGAATGGAACTCTGGGCAGGGGGATCCAGCCATACCCCCAGGGACCCGACCACAGCAGGATGGGACCCTGCAGGGCCTGAGCCGTGAGGCCTCCACAGCCTCATGCTGCAGGGTCCCCAGTGCCCACCCGAGCTGGCAAGTGAGTCACCAGCCATGGGAAGGAGAGACAGGGATCCTGACACTCAGCAATGTGACAAGTGAGCGGGGAGGGTGCTCTTGAGAGAGCCAGGCTGCGCAGGCAGACAGGGCACTTGGAGCTGGAGACAGGAGGCAGCCGGAGTCTGGAGATGCCGCACAGGCCCAACAACCCACTCAACCACTGGAGTGCGAGCATTCAGGGGTCACCTGCAAGGTGTGTGCACTGCAACACTGCACAGGGTCTCGGGGGCACCTGGCACTCCCCTCCCTGGCTCCTGGGCCGTCTGAGGGGTCACAGGACCGACAGCTGCCCGCTCGGGGAGATGCGTCTCCCAGTCCAGTCCCACAGCGCTGTCACAGGCCCCTGCAGGAAGGGACTGTCCCACCCTGCTGCATGACACAGGGTGGCTGCTCCCAGCCCCGGAAGCCTATGCTCTGTCACTTAGTTCCGACCCAGGTCCCTGCTGTAAGACACTGGAGCTGGCTCCACCAGCAGCATGCGCCTGCCTGCCCACACCCTGTCTCCTAGGGTCCCCCAGAAGGACCTGCCTGTGTGACCCTGTGGGCCAGGACCCAGCAGACCATTGCCCCAACACTATGTCGGGAGTGTGGGTGCACCCCGATCCCAGGACTGCCACAGAGCCACTCACACAGCACCCTGCCTGGAGACGAGCTAATTAAATCCTCCCACCAGTGCCTTCCAGCTTTGGAGGACTACACACAGGCCCACTTCCCGCAGCTATCCTCCCAATGGAGCCAGGCCCAGTACCCCAGAACCCAGGTGCTCAGGTGACGCGGGGAGGGTCTGCCCAGAACCTGCACACACTCCTGTGCACCATGAACCAGCTGACAAGGCGGCATCCACGACAGCCAGAAGCCACGCAAACGGTCGATACACTGATTGCTTAGGAACTAAAGACAAAGGGTCCTGTGCAGACACAGTGGTATTTGCTATTTTTGATCTGTGGTGGGTAGAATCCAAGGACACAAGGCCGACCCCAGCTCTGTCATATGGCAACAGCTTGGGCCCAGTTGGCACACATACAGAGTGGACAGAACCAGTGAGCTGGCAGGAGGAAGGAAGGAAAGAAGGAAGGAAGGGAAGGAGAGAGGGAGGAAATGCTCTAGAATGGGCGAAGGCTGCCCAGATCTGGGATGAGTGTCAGGACAGCTGTGCCTGGTTGGAGCACCCAGGAATGAAGTGCACAGGATGTGGGTCTCCCTCTTGCCGCAGAGGGCCAGGGGCTGCTGGGATCCCCCTCCTGCTCTTGCCAGTGCCCCCTCCCCCCCACAAGGCTGGCCTGGCCCAGAGAGGCTGGTCCAGTGGGCCGGGGGCCCTCTGTGCTTCCAAACGCAGGGTACCCCAGGCCAGCCCCAGGCCGGCGAGGTGGGAGACTGGGCCTCCCTGGTTCTGGAGAAGCAGGGCACAGACCACGACAAGGAGGTTCATATTTTAACTTGTCCACATTCTTTGATGATCCTAAGATGGTGCCAAGCTGTGAGTCACTGTGCCAGGGGAGGGAGCTGATAGGATCTGGGGGGGCTGCTCTGCAGGGGGTGCATAGCCAGGGAGCCCACAGTGGGGAGCCCTCGGGTGAGCAGAAGCTCAGTGGGCACCAGCACCCCAGGCCCTGTCGCCTCACACCCACTACAGCCAGCTCAGGCCATTTCCTGCCCTGGAGCCTCAGGAGACCCGTCATCATCGAGGGGCCTGTCCCCACCCAAGGAGGTGCTGCCCCTGCTGTCCCTGCATCCCAGGGACCCTCCCACACCCTCGCCTGGTCTAGTCACAGCACTCCTGTGGCCCCACAAGTGTGGGTGGCTTTTTGCATCACCTGCCTCTGGGTTCAGACCCTGCCCTAGGAAATTCCCTGTGTCCTCTGCCGGCTGCAGCCCTCTCCTGGGGGTGTTCCCTCCTCACTTCCCGTTCAGCTGCTGAAGCAGGACAGTCTCACAGGGTTACCTGCCCAGGCCCATGTGGAAGGCTGAGGTCCCCCAGAGCTGAGCCCCCGGAGCTATGGCGAGACCCTCTTGGCAGTGGGGAGGAACCCCAGCGAGACCAGGACCTTTCTTGGTTTGTTTGCTTTCGGTAAGAACTCCAGAGGTAGCGGGCTAATCGGGGCATGCCCGGCCCGCGGCGGCCCACATGTGCTTACACGCATGCAGGGCCTGGGCGTGACCCAAGGAGCGGGAGAACCCAATAGCTGCAGTCTCCCTCAGCACCCAGACCATGCAGGCATGTGGTCCAGGGGACCCCAAAGCCTGGAGGGGACAGCACAGCCCCTCCAGCCTCATGAGGCTCACTCCAGACCCCTGTTCTGTTTGCAGGTCATAGGGCAGCCAGAGGTCAAACCTGTCCCTGGGCCATGGAGGACACAGCAGCACAGGGCGCCTGTGTGAGCCCCCTCTTTTCCTTCTGCATACCTCCAGCCTGGGGCTGTCACTGGCCCCTAAAACTGCAGGGCCTTCACAGGGCACAAGTGGAGGCTGCTCTCCTTCCTGTCCCCTGGGGTGGCCTCATGCCTCCAGGGTGACAGTGACCTGGTGACCTTACCCCAAAAGGACAGCCAGGGAGCGGGGCCACACAGGAATGGGCATAGTCCCAGCTCCTGGGCACCTCCAGGGGTCCTCGAGGGTGTGGGACTCCCTCCCACACCTGGCCCTCCTGGGACCAGAAGGGAGGAATGAGGGGCAGGGCCCTGTGGAGCTGCAGCCCCTGTCCCCCTGGCCAGAGCCCCGGCGCATCCCCAGAACATGTCCCACTCTGCCATTCTCAGGGACAGGCCTCTCTGCTGCCAGGTCCAGGGTGGCACTGTGACCCAGGCTGTGTCCCAAGGGCAGG